GTTGTTGTTGTTTTTGGTCTTTTTGAAGCAGGGTCTCCTGTAGCCCCAGCTGGCCTGGAACTCTATGTAGACCAGGCTGGCCTCAAACTAACAGAGATCTGCCTGCCTCTGCCTGAGTGCTGGGATTAAAGGTGTCCACCATCATGCCCAGCTTTTTTCTTTCTTTTCTTTCCTGGTCTTTTGTTTATTTGTTTTTAGAATTTATCTATTTTTATTTTATGTGTATGAGTGTTTTCCTGAGTGCTGGGATTAAAGGTGTCCACCATCACGCCCGACTTTTTTCTTTCTTTTCTTTTCTGGTCTTTTGTTTATTTGTTTTTAGAATTTACTTATTTTTATTTTATGTGTATGAGTGTTTTCCTGAATGTATGTATGTGTACCATGTGCACTTCTGGTGCCAAAGGAGGCCAAAAGAAGAGTGTTGGATCCCCTGGAACTGGAATTACAGATGGTTGTGAGTACCATGTCTTTACGTTTTTCTTACATTCCCTGATTAAGAGAAGAAAAGTAATAGCCCCAAAGTAAGACTAAATTTGTTGAACATTTGTTTAAAATTTAGGTGTCAGGCACAGTGCCAAACAAAGGAGAGGAGGAGAAAAGAGAAAGAGAGAGAGAAGGGAGGGAGTAAAGAAAGAAAAAAGAAAGAAGGAAGGAAGGAGGAAGGAAGGAAGGAGGAAGGAAGGAAGGAAGGAACGAAAGAAGAAAGAAAGAGAAAGAAAGAAAGAAAGAAAGAAAGAAAGAAAGAAAGAAAGAAAGAAAGAAAGAAAGAAAGAAAGAAAGAAAGAAAGAAAGAAAGGGAAAGAAAGAAAGAAAAAGCTGGGGAGATGGCTCAGTAGTTAAAGCACTTGCCATGCAAGTTTGAGGACCAGGGAGTCCAGATCCCTAGAACCCATGTGAACACCAGGTGAGTGTGGCAGCACATCTGTAATTCCAGTGCTCAAGAGGTACATACAGGGGCTCCCTGGGGCAAGCTGGCTAGCTAGGCTAGTTGTATCAGTGAGTTCTGGGGTCAGCTGAGGGACCCTGTCTCAAAGAATAAAGTAGAGAACAATAGAAGACAACTCCAGACATCAACTTTGGGCCTTCACAGGTTCATGTAACTAGCACACACACACACACACACACACACACACACACACAAGCATACATACACAGGCATGCACACCACACATACATACTCATGAGAGAGAAAATTAAAAAGAAATGGTTGTGTTCTAGGATTTAAAAAGTGGTTAGGAATACAGATTCAGACATAAATACTAAGTCCTAATAAAGTTGATGTAGTTTCCCCAAATAACCCTAACCCTTCTACTTTTTTGCTGTTGTTGAATGGTCTCAATATAGCATAGGCTGGCCTCAAACACAAAATCCTCCTGCTTCAGTTTCCATTATGCTGGGATTACAAGTATGGACCACCACACTTGGTTAGAACACTTCAAAAGGAAGTCTTAGCTGTTATTCTAAGTGAGACATGCACAAAAAGTTTCTACTAGGAAACAAAATAGCCATTCTCTCTAGATCTATACCTGGAGTAATAGGTGTATGAGGTGTCAGTCATATGTGACTTGTTAAGAAAATGATCCACAGCAAAACAACAACAGAAACCTTAATCTTTAAATACACATTCAAATTAAAAGGTGACTCTAGCATTTTGTGATTATAAAAAAAAATCTACATATTCATTTTGGTCTCAGCTTTGAATACACAAAGTTAGAAATACACCCTTCGGTACAGCTAGGAAATCAGTTATGCTCAATACTGACTGGGATGTTTTTCACCTGTTGTTAGGGGAGGAGTGTTATTTTTAATTATGCTGACTGTCCCATGAAGAATCCCATAAAAGAGCAGTCATTAAAATCAAACTAAGGAATGAATTTCAAGCTATAAAATTCATAAGAGTGTTCAGATTCAAAATAGAGTGATTCTTCTCCAAGTAAAGCCCAGAGTAGTGCTCTGTACAAGGAAACAGAGGCTGAGAAGTCCAGACCTTCCTGGAAACTGATGTCACATTGGTAGGAGTCACCAGACACTCTAATTACTTACACCAACATTTCCCCTGACTTAGCCTCTCCTGTCACCTGTTGTCTCCCACTTATTGCTTATAAGATCAAAGAGCAGGAAAGAACTAGATTATTTATTCTGTGAAATAAAGATAATGTGCCTACTCTGCCCCATCTCAAAATAAGAAATAATCATGCTCTGTTTTGTTACTAAGTGACAAAGAAGCCAAGCGAAAACTTGACAACAATAATTAAATTAGAATCTTCAAACATTAGCTGGTGGACATGACAGTCTTTTTAGATTTTAGATTATAGGCAGCTAAGAAACAAATACAATCAAAATCCTAAACTTTTATACTCTTCTTCCTCAAGCAAACTTTGTGAAAAAAAAAAAAAGTATTAGCACCCAAGACAGGAAAAGTTGGGACAGTTTCTAGGTCATCTGGGCTCTAGTCTGACAGGTATAATTTCATTTTATTGCAAGTTTTGTGAATTCTCTTCATTTCAGAAAACACATAAAATGTAAATGTAAGAACACTTCTGGGGCTGGAGAGATGGTCCAGCGATTAAGAGCACTGGACTTGCAGAAACCCAGGTTAAGTTCCCAGCACCCACATGGCAGCTAAGAACCTTCTGTAACTGCAGTTCCAGGAGATCCAAGGCCCTCTTCTGGCCTCCTTGGACACTACATACACATGGTGCACTTACATGCAGTCAAAACATATACACATAAAAATAAATCAATAATTTTTTTATTTTTAAAAAATATTTTATGGGGAGCGGCTGGAGAGATAGCTCAGTGGTTAAAAGCACTGACTGCTCTTACAGTGGACCTGGGTTCAAATCCCAGCACCCACATGGCGGCTAACAACTGTCCATAACTCCAATTCCAGGGGATATGATGCCCTCCTCTAACCTCTGAGGGCATTGCATGACATGGGTATACTCACATACATGCAGGCAGTACATTCAAATACATAAATTTTTTTTTCTTTTGGTCTTTTTGAAACAGGGTCTCCCTGTAGCCCCAGCTGTCCTGGAACTCACTATGTAGACCAGGCTGGCCTTGAACTCACAGAGATCCGCCTGCCTCTGCCTCCCAAGTGCTCCCGGGTGTGCACCACCATACCCGGCTAAAAATAACATTAAAAAAAAATTTATGGGGCTGGAGAGATAGCTCGGCAGTTAAGAACACTGGCTGTTCTTGCAGAAGACCCGGGTCTAAATCCCAGCACCCACGTGGCAGCTAACAATTGTATGTAACTCCAGTTCCAGGGCATCTGACGGCCTCTTCTGTCCTCCACAGGCATTTTATTTGCATGTGTATTGCCTGCATGTATATAAGTGCACCTGTCTTGTGCAATGCCCAAGGTGGTCAGAAGAGGGTGTCAGATCCCCTGTAACTGAAGTTATGGATGTTGCTAGTTGCCATGTGGGTCCTGGGAATCAAACCCCGGTCCTCTGCAAGAGCAGCCAGTGCTCTTAACTGCTAAACCATTTCTCCAGCTCTCAATTTTTTTAATAAAAAAAAAAAATCCTTCTGCTAGGCATGGTGGCAACTGTCACCACATCCAGCACTTGGAAGGTCAAGGCAGGAGAACTGCAAATTCGAGGCCAACCTTGGCTCTACAGTAAGACCCTGTTTCACAAACAAATAAAAAAAATTTGAAACAACTTAAATACAATTTTGTTAGACTGTCTGCGTAGTTTATAATGTAAATGGCCATATGGGAAAAAAGGTAAGTTCAATCACTTAAGTCTTTAAGATCCAAGGTTTGCTGCCTCTCTCCTTTATATTCTGCTTATGTCTTTTTTTTTTTTCATGTGTATGCGTATATTGCCTGCATGTAGGTAAGTGCACCCATGTCATGCATGCTCATGGAAGACAGAAGAGACTGTTGGATCCCCTGGAACTGGAGTTACAGACAGTTGTTAGCTGCCATGTGGGTTCTGGGATTAGAACCCAGGTCTTCTGTAAGAACTGTTAAGAACCAGTGTTCTTAACCGCTGAGCCATCTCTCCAGCCCCCTCCTGTTTATGTCTTAAATAACAGCTACAATTTCACAGAGAAATTAATTCCTGTATGAAAATGAATTGATAGTTCTGTAGGCATGCTTAGATTTTTGCCTGGACACTGACATGCTTTAGAATTTTAAACTTCTATTAGCAAGCAGCAAAGTCTATGTGCTATTCAACATAGATAAAAATGCATC